GTGGATGAACACTTCTAGGCTGACGTGGTTAGCGACGAGTGTCGCCAAATTCGTTAGCCGGTTAGGTTAGCGGGTAACTATATTCAGTGCATCATCATTAGTTGCTGATAGTGTTCACTCCATTGCACTAACGCACTAGGCAACTTCGAGCTCAAGCGATTCCAACGTTAAACCGATCTGTAATCTTTAGTTCATTTTTGATGGTCATGTCAATTGATGTTGCCCAGTCACTCTTGATTGCTCATGCGGAAGGTCTGCAGGTTATTAACATCCATTGTTTGAAGCATTCACGTTTCGGTACCTGGCAGAATACCAGTGTTGGATGGCTTGTATTCTGATTCCTTGAAACAGAGCTCGGTAGTTGTTCGAGAGGTTTATCGTTCATTACTTCATGATACAGCGGTGAGACAAGCGGCAGAGTATCTCGGATCCTTAACGAATTTTTGAAATAGCGGGATAGCTGCAGGCCTTCATTCCTTGCTTAGCCGTATACTTTGACGTTATTAGCTGCGCACCCATAGTGTTTCTGAAAATATGTACGTTAATCTTCCGCCATGAGATTTTCACACATTCGAGATATTATTGCAAACTGAGGCAACTTTTTGAAAGGTTTCTGAAGAAACAGATTCTCGCGCGACGTGATCTGCATCATTTCATCCGAATTTTATGTATTGGTGCCTTTGCCAAGTACCAGAAAACAGTGAACGCTGTTTGTTTTGGGTTTTATTTTTAGATTGTTCGGAATTTTATAGACGATATTTTGGTGCCGAAACCTCGGAATCAGTGAAATGACTATTTACGCATTCAGCATAGAAAACTTCAAACGTAGCGAGAGCGAAGTCCAAGAGCTGATGGATCTGGCACGCAAGAAGTTCACTCAGCTGTTGGATCACAAGTAGTTTTAAGGAACTTGTCTAGCTAAATCATTAGAAACTACTTTCAGAGAAACAGTCATGAAGAATGGTGTGCACTTGCGATTTTATGGTAACTTAGACCTGTTGCCAGAGGACATTCGTCGTACGATACGAGAAGTTAGCCGCATTTCCAAAAATAATAGCAAGTAAGAAAAAAATATATACCATCTTTCGCTGAGCACTGAAGCATTTCCAGATGCAACTCACCAGCTCAAAGTTTGGATAGCCACGCCTTGTCGCTATTTCACTAACCTGAATCGCGATTCGAGCTATCGATGCCATTAAAATCAAGCACTGACCGTCGAAACCTTTACTTTCCAAAGAAAGCATTTTTAAATAGTTTCAAGAGGAATTGAAAATCCGAAGAGTGTTTGATGGGTCATATCAGAAAGTGAAGAAAGTAACTCCTTTGCCCTGTTTGGGTGGTCAGTACCTGAGAAGTATGGCGTAGTAATGTCCCCTTATCCGTCTTTACAGAGGATTGCATTAATCCTACCAATATATGTCTAAATTGGAAAGTTGTTTAAGATGTAGGTGTGAATTGCAACTGACATTGCATAGGATATGAAAATTTTAGTGCAGACTTCACAGCTACAGTTTTGATCTATATCTCACAAACTTTCACTAAAGTGATTGAAACGCGGTTTCTTTAGAGGTAGGCTCTCATTTATTGGCGCTTAGCCAACCAGAGAAGGTCTGCGTATGCAAACAGCTCAAGGTGATTTCTCAACAGACTCACGCACTTTTGCTCTTCCTCATGGGCCACATTTTCGATACCGATCTTTCACAATTCAGAAGTTTATGATGCGGCGCGTCACGTTGATCTCAATTTCAATGCTATCGTGAAAGAATGCTTTAGTTATCCATAATAATATCCGCAGCTAGTGTTAATATCTACAGCTAATGTTAACAGTTAGCAGGTTAATATCTACCGTACGAAGCATGCGGAAAGCACGATTTATGACCTTCTACTTTTTCGTCGGTAAGAGGAAAGACGCTTGATCTAACCAGATTGGAACATCTTACTCTTGACTACGGCTCTGATGCTATACGGACGGACGGATATACCCAAACCTTTGAGGTACCAGATGATGATGGTTTAACTGACATATCTTTATAACTCCGGCGTTGCCTTCTTGTTATTTTGATTAGCAGTACCAACATAGTGGGGTCGTAAGACTGCTTTTTTTATTGCAACGGCTTTCCATGATTTATTGCAACCCTTAAAACTATAAATTTTCGAGACAGCGATAGCAGAGAGCGAACAGATTTCACTGATGATCTTAATGGTAGGCGTTATTTTGACTAATGGATTAGGGTGGCGGCTATTGTTTATATCTAAAGAGAATGATAAAGGGTGCATTATTTTATGTAATTTCAGGATAGGTCTGCGTGTTTGAATCGGACATGAAATGCAGATGGGATTGTTAATATACTTGGAGTACGATGCTATAGGCTTAGTTTGCCTTTGTAAAACCCAGGGTTTCTAGTTGGTGTCATCGTGGAGTGGAAAGCACCGTATAATAGGCTTCGTGAAGGGTTTCAGAAATAGCGTCTATCATGCAGACGCGATAGAGACTAAAACCCTAGTGCTAGGTTTTTCCAGCTGCTAGTCAGGCAGACTTTAACGGTAAGGTTTCAGTCTCGGTATTGTTATTTTTTGCATTAAGTTTAATGGTAGATTCAAATATATGGTTGTGTCGCTGTTATTATCCGTGTGTAAAGATAGCAAAGTCTGAACAATAGATAGGCTTGTAATGATGATGTGAATTCACGTTTTACACTGTCAGCAAACGCGTCTGTTACAAGTGAACGGTTTCCATGAAGGAAGTTTGAACATATTCATTTTTGGAGTGTTTTATCAAATTAAGTCAGTACCGGTCTCAGTATGCAGACAGTTTTGCTAAATCTTGGGGCATTAGCGTCTACTCGTTTTCCTTCTCGCTTTAAAATATTTCATAGACAGCGTTGCTGGAAGCTGTCAAGACGAACTAGGGCATCAGATTATTGCAGACTTTACCTCAAAACCGCTAATACGACTACTTTCACGAAATGTATTTGGTTCTGCTTTTATATTCTCTCTTTCCATATTTTATCTTGCTTTCCAAAATTTGTTTATGCCAGTCCAGTGCGCTCATTCGTTTCAGGATCAAGGCAACCAGTATTAGCAAAGGCTGTTCGAAAATACTTGAAATGATCCACCTCCTTTGCCGCCATTACTTTTTCCAAGTTGAGTTATGCCATTGTCCGCAACGAAGCTGCAAATAAATCTTAGGGGACCATCACATTAAAAATAATGATATCGGATTGAAATGGCGAAAATGCAGTATAAAGAAAGAAAGATCTTCCTTACAGCAGCATTATTGCACCGCCCCCTTGCTTTTAGACGCCTAGGGGTACCATTTACGCATACCACGACTCCGTGGTAATTAAGCGCATGCAGCGCATTGGACGCGGGAACGCATCTCAAGCTAGAGTTGAACCAATGCATATTCAACAATGACTGCATTTGTCATTCGTCCTCTTACGGATCATCGCAATCGTTGTTGAACATACATTTGTTCAACTCTAGTTTGAGATGCGGTCCTGCGTCCTATGCACTGCATGCGCTTAATTGCCATGGAGCCGTAGTCTGCGTAAATGGTACCCCTAGGCGTCTAAATGCAAGGGGCGGTGCAATAATGTTGCTGGTGTAAAGTAAGAAATAAATTTTTCTTTCTTCACACCGCATTTTCGCCGTTTCGATCCGGTATCATTATTTTTAATCTGATATCTTCAGCGGCAGGTATCGAAAGGTTCCTCTAAACATCGGGGTTATACTTTGTCACTTAAAAAACCGTACTGTCAAACTTCTTCCCAGTGTTTCGGCTAGTTGCATCACTGCGCATAAAGATGCATTCGTTGCTCAAAATATTTACTCTGAGTTAACTGAGAATTCAAGCCATTCTCTGATACCGAAATCGATAACGTCTGCATATGCTATAAACCGCTGTGAAACTGTTGTCCGTGAACTTATGCTGCAGTGTTTTTGCATGAAAATTCGTGAACTGTGCTCTTCTGCATAAGGCGTTGGAACTGAAGTTTTTCTGTTTATTACCGAATTAGTACTCAAGGACTATCGTTTTTAGACTGTTCCTAAATATATGCGTTTCCTACACTTCCAGCGATGAGATCCAACGCGGACTAAAAACTATCCTTCGAGGAGTCAAGGATGGCCTGCTCAACACCACGTAAAGTCCTGAATTTATTGATTTAATCATGCAGCATTTTGATGTACTGGTTAAAGAGATATCAGCGAAGAGTTGTTCAGCAAATGTCTCGACTCTGGCCAGTCTACCGATCCTGAATTGCTCATCAGAACCAGTGGAGAAACACGACTTAGCGACTTCCAGTTGTGGCAGGTAGTTCGTGTTTTTTTCACTAGCATTAAATAGCGTAGTTCTTTAGTGCGCTTGCACATGCATCTATTTCGACAGTGTTCTTTGGCCTGACTACAAGTTCTGGAATTTGTTTCGCGCAATAATGTACTACCAACAACATCACCTTTACTTTGAGGTAATGATCTGCCGTTATTACGACTAAGTTTGTCATGATTACATGTACGAAATATTTTATTCAGTTCAGTTCAAACTTTATTTGTTTAAGTGTACTCGAGCGTACACAAGTAGTATTCATCTTCCCCAGTATATTGCAATAAACATAATGCAAAAACAGCATATGCAAAAAGTGAATTAATACAGATAAGTGATGAGCAAAATGTTCAGTTCAGCGCGGTATCGCTTCCTAGATTATATGTTCCAATGGCTTTCGGCTGTCGCTTCATTTGACCGAAAGATCTGCGCTCTCTGACTCAGTGGTGCCGGATGTTTTTGAAGACGCGGGATAGCAAATTTAGCGCTTCAACCGGTGCAGATATGCTCTCTTCAGCATCGAAGACTTTTGAATGAAGATCAGCAGGATGAAATAATGTCCGCGATCGAATAGACTACGCAGAAGAGGGGAGAAGACAGAGCAACCAAATGCGCTTTCCGCATTGTCCTGATATCCGCGAAAACGCTAAACGACCGGTCGACCCACCGCACTGTGCGGTTGTTGCACGAACAGCATACGTTTCAGGTGGAAGGACTGGGGGTCCCTGTCCATCTTATTTTCCAAAGAAAACATCACATTTTTCCCTCGTGCCATTTACGCTCTGAACTAAAGATGACAATTTATGAACAAGAACGATCGAAGATGTGATTCTGCATCAGTGATACTGCACATGAATAAGAAATAGTATTTTGCTCACAGCGAGTATCGTTCAGGTACCGTTATATCCAAATTCAGCATAAATTCATGCCGGCAGATCGGCTGTAACTGTATTTTCCGCTTTTAGAAGCTGAAGGTTTATCGGCAAAAGTTTGCGCCTTCTGTTGGTGGCTCGAAGCCTGTTGAAGAGATAAACCACAGATTTCTGACTTCGGACAAGAACTAACCGGTGGATATTGTTGTTCACTGTTTTCATTTTCGCTGACAGTTTTGCAGTTTCGTTAGCATGAATGTTCTTATTTCAGTCTTGATTTGCAACAGCTTTCAGATACTGTTTTTTAAGACGGTTTTAATCATTTTTAATCATAGTCTTACTTCGTGGTGACCGCCAGGTTCGCATCATTTCATTGATCGGAGAATGGTTTACTCTGAGCGTACCAATGTACAACTCGTAAGCACTGCAGTAAGTTCTACAACAGCATTAGAATAGTTTTCCCATTCCTTTGTCCGCAGTTTTCAACCCGCATTCGTGTTAAACCTCATTTCTAGACCACCAAACAACTTACATTCCTTTACCATCGTCACTAAAGCTGATACTGCTTAGGCATTTCTGAGCGCATCTATTCATTTCTTCAACAAAACTGATTTTTGACATCAAATGAACTTTTTCTTAAAGTTTCGGGACCAGAGTAGAAAAGTTATTGTCAATAATTTCAAAGACATTGCCTGAAATCGAAATTTTAGAGAAGAGTAAAAGTTTATTCCGTGTCAGTTTGTTTACAAATTATATTACTCTGATGTGATTGGTAGTGCATTTACAAAGTTACTGTTTTAATTTGTAGTCACATGTGAAGGATCAGTAGGTAACAACATTTTAAAGGTTGTAGTTACTGTGACAGTTTCTTGTTTAACGTTCAGGTTTTACGATCTACGTGGCTTATTCGGGTTTTAATAAATTGGATAAGCTATCATATGAGGTGCTTTTCAGCACAACTTTTGCCAGACAAAAACGGCTACATACGCAAAGAACAGTAAGATTATGTTGTTATCCACAAGTCATGTGCAACTGTCCCTGCAGGTAGAATGACCAATTAGCGCGACTGTTAAGAACTTGAGATATACAGTGGATTACTGACGTCCGGCAAGCTTCAATTCTGGCTGATGACCTAACAAACATGATTGGGAGTTGCTGACCAAGAATTTTAGGGCACAGCTGATGTTTCCTTGTGTACAATAATTTCTGTTTCCATAAGAAGGCTTTCATATAACAGCAACGCATTTATTCCAAAATTCCTATTCGCCTCAGTCGAAAAAAAAGAAGCTATACAGGTGAAAAGACCACGTTGCATACTATAATTTCTTTCTAAACACTCATTGAAGTTGAAATCAAACTTCAGAAAAGCCCACGCTATGCCGTTTTTAAGGAGAGCTTCAGTCCAACTTGTTTTAAGTGCTTGTAACAAATCGCAGACTTCTCC